GCGGAGAACGGCGCACGCGCCCGCCTGCCAGGGTCCATGAGGCCGCGCCACGCGTTATTGGCCGAGCACAAGCCTAAAGCTCCCGGCCGCCAAATCACTTGATAGGATACGAGCAATAACTTTCACTGCAAAAGCTTCAGTGAAGTGGGAGGGAGGCAATGAGACTGAGAAGGGGAGGAGGTGCAGCGCAACGTCGCAGTGCGCCTGGCCTTCGGCCGGGAGGACGGCCGACGGTCCGTCTGAACTCTGCGAACGCCACACAAAACAAAGAAGAGGTTGCAGCGACCACCCAAGTCGACGGAACCCGACCGAACCAGGCGCATAATTCACGTTTGTGTATTATCAAGTGGCGAACGTCTGGATTGAAAAGAAACAACTGTTTGAAAACCATTATAGGAGCAGTCGAATGTCCCCGCGGTCACCGGGTGACCAAGAGAGAGGCCCAGTTTCGAAAGGAAACGCACGCGCAAAGGAATTCGAGTTGTCCCCGGCAGGTCAGCTCGGCTCGAGGACGGCCAGCAGCGGACCCGAACTGCGCTAGACACACAGTTGCTGCTGAACTGTAGTAGAAACAAAAGTTATGGCAGTTCGCGCGTAGGGAAGGAGTCTCGGGCAAACTTGAAATACGGACAAACGGGTCAAAAAAAGTGACATAATTATACTGCGCTCTGCGTCCGCGTATTTGTCAGGTCGAGCGGAAGCGTTGAGCGCCTGGACACAAAAAGATACGGGAGGAAAGAAACGAAGGGAAGAAGCATTCGTCATGGGCACTTTCGCCACCAGAAAATGATAGGGCCCGGCAAAAGAATATGATGATGGTACAAAGTGGCGGACCTGGTGGCAGATTGGGCGGCCAGATTACACATCGCGCCCGCAGGCCAACAAGCTAAACTATTCGCGCGGCGGACCATGAGAGCGGGAGAGGCAGAGTGAGCGAGTTTGTTAGTGTGAGAAAGAGAGAGAGAGAGAGAGAGAGAGAGAGAGAGGGAGGAAGAGAGAGGGGAGAAGGGGGAGAGAGAGGAGGGGAGCGTGTATTAATCGGATCGCCAAAGGATTCAGCAGAACTTGGGGTGAAATTTTCTCTAGTTTAGAGAAATGTTGTCATGTTTCTCTTATTAAAAGTGATCTTACAACTAGAATTTTAGGTAGGCTTCTGCCAATTTAAAACTTTGTCATGGTGTGATTGATTGGCTAGGAAAGCAATGAGGGTAATTCGTATGTTAAATGTGAAGGCGTGTGCCGCTGTTCGGTCAAAACGGCTGGGTAGGAGAGACCGCCCGCTAAAAACCAGTCAAACTCTTACACACACATTCACACACACACACAGACAACTACCTGCCCACCCCACTCTACCCAGCCCACCCTTTCGCTGCAAAAACTTGCACAAGTGTGTCACCTGTCTCTCGGGAAACAGCGGGAATCCGGGACCCTCAGCTCAAACAAAAGCGGATAAGAGTTTAGAGGCCTGCAGAAGAAGACTCCAAAGCGGCCCCCTATCCAAAGAAGTCTCGTAACGGGTTGCGTGTGTCGCTGACATCTGGACTGGAATGCGACTCGTAAATAGAAGTGACTACCGAAACACCAGGAAACACCTATAAATACACCAGGCTCATCTTCAAGAAAAAAAGAAATACATACACCCATACGATTTTACTTACAGTGAGACTTTTACGCTTGATTCGAGTACTTTATCGATAAATAGAACCAAAAACAAAATTGGAAAAATATTTGCGCTCTCCCTCGATGCTTTAAGTCGGTTAGTGGTCGCGGGCGCTGACGCGCGCTGCGCTGGTCGCTGTACTTCACGCTCGCGTGTCGGCTCACCTACATTCACTCAGCCGTACTCTTTTTCATCAAACTGAGTGGTAGTGCAGAGCAGCGCGGTCTCACTCTTCGTGATCCATATTGCAGAAATACCATCACTACGGGACCCAACGCCCGCTGACTTTTAAGAAGGCAAAGCTGACATTTACAAATACAGAACACTGATAAAAAAAAAGTGATCAACTGCTCAACACGTCTGAGTGTGCAATTGCAAGTTAAATACTTGCAAGTGTGCAACTGCAAGATGAATACTTGCAAGTGGACAACTCGGTAGGTATGCACTTGCAAGTGTGCAACTCCTCGGTTGAGCACCTCCTACACAGTCAGTCTAAGGAAGTTTTCAATCGAGGAGTTGTACACTTGCAAGTGCACACCTACCGAGTTGTACACTTGCAAGTGCACACCTACCAAGTTGTACACTTGCAATTATTCATCTTGCAGTTGCACACTTACAAGTGTTGAGCAGTTGAACACTTAGTTTATTAGTGAACACTGCTACAGAGGTCATAGTCACCTAGACTCGCCCAATGTAATAGACAAATTTAATTCTTAATGGGCACCAAGCGACAGGTTTGCCTTTCCCTGGCCGAGCCAGCTGCAGCTGCACCTGTTGCACTTGCGCTACCCCCATCAATGAAGTCAAGCTCAGCTGCAGCGTTTTTCTCCACGGCTTTCTTTCTGTCTATCTCCCTCACTGTCCGGCTTCCCGAACACGCTGCCGTGCCGCCGTCGGAGCCCCGAGGACGTACCTCCATCTCGCAATATCGCATCAAGTTCCGCTGCCACCGCCGCCGCCGCGCGACATCACCGTCCCGTTAGCCCAGCCCCGCGGCGCCCCGCCTCCGGAGGTTGTTAGTCCCCGCACCGCTCCTCGGCGTGGCAGGTTGCCTACCCGCTGGTTGCTGGGGTCAGGTCGTCAGCTAGCTGGACGGAGCGGCAGCTGACAACTCTCTTAACTCAAATGTGTACATTGTCTAGCATGTCTACTCTTTAATGTAAACATGAGCATGTCTACTTTCATTAATGTAGACATACCATGTATACCTTCTCTAATGTAGACAATGCACACATTTGAGCTGACAGAGAATTCACACTTCATCACGTCAAAGTGCGCGCAATTGCAGTAGTTGTGTGCGCGCTTGTTACGCGACTTGCGAACTGCGATGCGCGCTGTTCTCGGCTGCCCTGCTGCTTATAACTTTGACAGCGCGTGGGTGAGTGGCTGGATGATGTGAGAATGGTTCCCACCAGGCCAGGGCGGGCGGCAGGCGGCCAGGGCACACACAAGTTCATCGTAAAGCCGACGCATCCGCAGACTACCAGCACACACCGCTCAGCCAGTACAGTGCGAGCAAGCACGGTGGGCGGTTTTAAGAGCAAGTCGGGTGGCCTGGCCTCGCAACGGGAATCGGTAGCTGCACTAGACGGACAGGGTCATAAAATTCCACCGACCGGCTGTAATGACGGAATCCGTCTGCTCTCCCGGCTGCACTGCCCACACAGTGTGCGTTAAAAGGGGGAAAACGAAGGGGGGGGGGGGCATAACGCGCGGTGGATTCCGGAGCATACCGAATCCGAACGGGCGTTAATGGACCTTAGCGCTCCCGCGCGGTGGGTGCGAACGTTCGGACACCAGGCCGGCCATCCTTCACGCGTGACGGCGAAAACGCTGCGATCAAGCTTTGACGGGAGCGGGCGGGCGTGCGGGCTCAACAACGGGCGGTAAAGGTGACAGTCTGTCACTGACGGAAAGATCGCTTCTTCACGCTTCAACTTTCAAGAAGAAGGGGGCCTAATACAGGCCATTTTAAAGAAACGAGGCGAAATTTTACAGGTCAGAGCCTACTCAACACAATTATGTTATTTAAAGTTTCCCATAAGAGTAATGTATTACAGTATGCACATACTCGCTGGGGGGGGGGGTGGAACTGAACACAATGTATACAGCATAAGGAAAAGGTTCAGAAATAATTCGGGACAGTATACGATAAAATACCACTCGAAAGTCGGGCACAAATTAGGAAAAGTTATACTGGTCGGGATGCAGGAATGTATGACTTTTAGCATCAGATAATATTGCATCGTAGTCCATGCTTATTTTTGCAATGAAAACGATCTCTAAAAAATCCATATCCTTTAAAAAATTGTGACCATATAGGGGACTACAGGCTATCTAAAACGGAAGAGAAAAAGTCCCATGCCTTTATCGTGATATGACGCTGCAGCCATCCAGGAACAACTTTGGGTACCAGCCAGCCGGTCAGATTCTCCACGCATGAAGGGCTTTACGCGGCGGTGAGAGGCACGGGTAAACGGGGAGCTTGTCAAGGGGGAGGGGGAGAGGGGGAGGGAGCAGCACTGCCAGCAGCTGGTGCGCTCAGGGATGCGACATGCCGCCCCGGCCTTGACCTGCAACACGCTCACCACTTGTTCATCCGACTGCCGCATACATGCGGGTCGCAAGGCCTCCCTCTCTCTCTCTCCTTCCCTCGTTTCCTAAAAGTGACTTGCAGATCCAAATCCAAAGCTCCAAATAGACTGAGGCTATTGTCGCACACGAATACCCCTGCCTGAGGATTTATGAAAGTCGTCTTCTGAGGATGCAACCGGGTAAACGGGCAGCCATGGGGTCAAATGTCCCCTTGGCTTTAAATGCAATGAATAAGGGGGCTCGCTGACGCCCGACACCACGGGCCGCATAGCAAAACCCCATCGCGAAGCCTGTTACGCGAAACGTAGGCAGGTGTTTCACCCGCAGTGCAAAAGAAACAGGTAAGTTCGCTTTAGAAAGGAGCACACCTCCACTCTAGCTACAGCCCTCTTCATGGATGCAAGTTTAGTCCCCCCCCCTCCCCCCACACACACTCACACAGAGGGCACAGACTCATCATCGTGACTGGTTCGCACTGACGAATGGCCGAAACCGAGGGCAATATTAGTTCTTGTCGGACGCGCTCTCACAGACGCACAAGTCTAAACGCATAACAGATATCACTACTAGGTCACCGAGGTTACGACGCGCAGGAGAAAACCTTGCGAGAAAATAATTTGCTGTGAAGGTGGCAATAGGTTGTGAGGTGTGTAACGCTGGCGAGCCCGGCCCGGCCGCCCCCACAAGCGTCCTCATCACATCAGCTGCGGGGCGGAGCGGGGCGCACAGACCGCACTTTACTGACCGCTGCACTACGCAACACACACACAACACAACTCGGAGCAAGTCGTTGGTGGTCGCGAATCGTAGCTGTGGCTGTAGTTGTAGTAGTAATCCAGTGTCTTGCGGCGCACTTCACCCAGGTATCACAACACTTAGCACGCACACACACAGACACACGCTCGCACGCACACAGAGTCCACGCGGTGAGAGGCTTCTCGGGAGAGCTCGGCGCTGCGGCGGGACGCGAGTCGGCTCGGCGAGGCTCGCTGCCGGCGTGCACGGTGAGGACTGAGCCGGCCCGGGCCGCGCGAGCGCGGCTCAGCCCCCTCCGGCGCCCGGCCGACCGCCATGACCACAGCCACGCCGCGGGCGCGGCAGGGGAGGCCAGCCAGCCTACAAGCGCCGCTTCCACGAACAGCAACATCCACCACCATCATATCGATCAGCTGTGGCAGATCGGACTCAATGAAATAACGTTCTTCGACCATTCCCAAAAGAAGTGCGGAGGTTCGAGCACTGTCAAAGATTTCTTTGGAACTTTTCAAACTTCCAGCTGATATGTTTGTCTTTACGGATTCCATATTGGTGATAGTAGGCGTCGTATATTCTTCAACTTCAACTTCGCCACTCAAAATTTCCCTTGACTTTCCTGTCTCCCACGACCTGTAGACTGTAGCAACCCTGCACAATGTGATGGCTGTACTCTGTGTACTCCAACTTCGATTGTACTCCTTTGTAAACTAAAAAGTCGAGTTGTCGGTCGACCCCTCGCTCCACACCCACTTGGTCCATCCGATCGCCCGGGTGGACTTCAGCCGCGCAGACGCCTGCGTACGCCGCTTTGTCACCGTACGTTCTCCTCATCTCTCTTTCCAGGCCGACGACACCGAGAGGCCCAGGTGGGCGGGGTCATCACGACGACCTCATCAGATAGGAAGGAGGCCCCGCCCGCGAGGACAATTTTAAAACATGCGGTCGCTCTCCTTCTTCCTACTCATACCCTCCTCCCCCTTTCTTCTCTGTCTCTCTCCAGAAGGTGAGAGGAGGCCACACCCCACGGTTCCTAGGGCCACAGAACATCCCCAGCCCACACACGCAATAAGAGCCAAGGGCCGTCATTACCGAAAGAGCGCACCAGCGAGTGGGAGCAAAGCCGTGGAGGCGGCGGCCAGGCCCAGCCCGGTAAACAAAGGGCGTTTACAACCGATATTCACAGTTTTAGTGGTTGCGTTTTAATCCGACGTTTTCCTACACGGAATATTGCTTGCGCCCACAGAGAGCGTTGGCGGCGCGCGTGAGAAGTGTACACTTACAGAAATAAAACACAATTAGGCGAATTTGCCTTTCTCTTTTTACCTTTGCAACGTTGGGCCCTAAACTAGAGAACAGAACCTTTCCAAAGAGGGGCCCGGCTTAGCCTGGATAAAGACGCCCCCCGCTTAATTTTTCCGACATACACACACATGCATAGTACACACATACTTTTCCGTTCTTTCTAATCGCACGCGCGGTCCCACGGCCTTTTTTTATGCTCACTTCCGATGGACTGTCCAAACGCGAGAACGATGGACATCTCCTCTCCCACGTATGTAAGTACACTTTGCATACCGAAACTGGGCCGTAATGGAAACAATAAGAAACAAGAACGAAATGAGATGACCCGCAACAATAACATATAATTACTATACACACACCGGGGCTCCTATACGCAGAACCAGGCGGTAAACCGACCGACCCGACACGCCGGGGCGGGTGCGGTGAGGGGAGAGAGGGAGGGACGCAGGGGCAGGAACGTCAAACGGTCGCACATACAATATACACGTCCATCTCGGGAATAGCGGAGGAGGCGGCAGTAACCAACAGCCAGCGGTGCTAAAGCCAAGCGGTTCATTTCCCTTCCGTTTCCACCACCGCGAGGCCGCGAGGCACGACCCTATCCGCTAATACGGCAGCGGCGCCGGCCGCAATCATACGGCCATCTTGTCGTGCCCGACGGAGCTGCCGCCGCCCGTCCGTCGCGGAGCGCAGCAGCAGCAGCAGCAGCAGCAGCAGCAGCAGCAGCAGCAGCAGCAGCAGCAGCAGCAGCGAGGGGCTGGGCCCGGTCGGTAATTAGACAAACACCGGGGAGTCATGACCGTCAGGGCCGCGGGCGAACGGCAGTGCTGCACAAGAGTCAGGACTCTGGGCTGCACCACGAGTTCTCGGCAGGGCTACTGCACCCGGCGGGTGCGGGTCGTAGTGCGTGCGGACATCGGAACAAAAGCAGTGCGAGACTCACCATTTATAGCATCCTGTGGGGGGGGGGGGGCTGGAAACCCCATACCAAAGTGGTCCGCCAGCACACTGGATGGGTTTTATAATGAAACTAGTATCGTAAAGACAAAGTGACGATATTAATTTTCTCGGTAAGTGATTCCTGTAAACGAAGTAGCGCCTAGTGGGTATCGCCGTGCCGGAGGCGTAAAGGATTGGGGCATCGTTGCGATGATTGCATATCACCCAGGCGGCTTACAAACAACGACATGGAGGGGGAGGGGGCACCGATCACCAAAACGACAAGGGGGCGAAGGTGCCCCTCTTCAAACTGCGCCCCGACTGCTGTGCGTTGCGACTGCGACGACCATCCCGTCGGCTGCAGGGGAGCTTCAGGGGGCGGAGAAGGTGTTGAGGCCGGGCCACCCGCCTTTCCGAACGCAGCCGCGCGGTGCGCGGAAGGGGAGGGGGCGAGGGGACTTCCCCGTGCGCGGCGATACCCCGAGCGCAGAGGCGCGGGGTACAGCGACGCGGTGCCGCGGCGGACTCTGGGCTCTGGCGGGCGATACTCCGCGACTGTAGAGGTAGCGCCCCGCGCCCCCTGCATCGTAAGTAGGTGCGTACCCGCTCCGGGGCCCCGCTGGACAACTCGCGATACCCCTTTCCAACCGAAGTGGCCAGGCATGGACCTGGAGTATCGCTACCCATCACGCCTTGTTCAACACTGTTAAAAAAACCTACAGTAATTCGTACAGGATGGCCAATAAATTTTTATATTGGCCTGACTGTATTTAATTTTACAGTCGTACTGTTTTTAATTTTACAGTCCGACCTGTTACCGCCTGTAACAGTCTGACTGTATTGTAGAATACGGTCAGACTGTATTCAAATGTACAGGCTGACCTGTTACAATCTGGACTGTAAAATTTAAGTTTAGTCGGACTGTAATCTTAGACCAGGTGGGTGGAAATTTCAAGTGGGTTTTTGTAGATTTTGTCCTCTATAACGGCCTTTTACGGTTTTTATTTTACAGTCTGGACCGTAAATGAAAATACAGGCCGGACTATTCTGAACTACAGTCTAGACTGTAACAACTCACTGTAAAAATAAAAACAGTCCGGCCGGTATTTCAAAATACAGTTCAACCGTAAAATTAAATACAGTTCCTGACCGTAAAATAAAATACGGTTAGGACTGTATGCTCACTGTAATTGGCTACAGTTTTTTTAACAGTGAAGCTCGCCGGTTATGTGTCATTGCCTGACACATTAGTGACAAGGGAACCTTTTTCAGGCGTCAATCATTAAATTCAACGAAACTCGCTAAATTTGATAATGAGCCATGCAAAACGTTTCGTAAACCTCAGAATTCTTGTTGACTGCAAAACGAAGCAAGTTCGTGCACACTTTTGTTTTCAGTGTACAAACGCAGAAAAATAAAATTCAGTTCCGTGCAAATCGGTTTAACTGCACAATTTTACACCAATGCAAAAAAATTAGCTGGATGTAAAAATATTTAGCTGTAGAGCTAAGTGGCATTAGCTGCACAGGTAATAAACGGTGCGGTTTACTGGATAGCTAAAAAATTAACCCTGGTGCTAAATAAATTAGCCGAGTCTATTCAGTTGATTTTTTAGCCCCGGTGCTAAAAACTTAGCAGAGCCACGATTTTTTTCTGCGTGCAGCAAATATCCAATAGGAGGAGTGCAAAGAAAGGGGTAAGTGAAAGGGGTGAAAGGCATGGCCCGACCACCCGCACCCCGCGCCACCAGTGCACCGGCACGGGGACGTCATCAGGCTGAGTGGTGCGCTCGGTGGCGGCTCGGCGGCCGGCCTTGCCCCACTCATGGGCAGTAAAGTGACGGGCGGGGCGGG